CAATAATGATACTTTTGATGCATCAAAAACGTAACTTTTGTATCACTTTGTGTAGAAATTGAGCGTCCTCCGCTATGCTCTAATTGGAAATTTAATTATATTTCAATAACTTTAGCAAAAAAAAAAAAAAAATTTTTTTTTACGATTTCTTCACCACAAATATATTACTATCGAACTTAAATAATTACCATTTCTTTCCAGCAGAACTAATATCTTTGATCTCAGCAAATTTCTTGTAATAGTTGAATCCATAGCTTTTTGGATATCCTTCAGGACCACAATTAAATTTCTTATCCAAACAGTCAGTATAAAAGCTGCAAGAATTAGGCGCTAGATTTTTACAATGGTCTATTGCACAACTAGCATATTGGGTAAAAAGGATCCAAATTATGCTGAATATAACAAGTGAAATAGCTGATGATGGCTTCATTGATTTACAAAAATGTCAATCACTAAGATCTCTATCACTATAAGAAAATTGTTTAGTCGTTTTCTTCGTTAACCAAAAATAATAGTCTTAAGGAGATGAATCAGTAGAGTTCTGACCCAGGTCAGAAAATACTGACTCAGATGGGTCAGGCATTGACCTGGGTCATGACTAGTGATGGGAAAATTAGCTTTTTTTCACATTTCATGCGCATGATGCGCATGGAATTCTGGCCTGCATTATGGTAATGCGGGCCAGAATTATGAGATTCCGAAATGTTCCGAAAATTCTGAAATATTTCTATGCGCATAAGCACATCACTAGTCATGACCCGGGTCAAACAGGTCAAACCGAAATTCATGAAGTTTTTAAAGTTAACCCTTAAAAGTTGATGTAACGACTCTTAATTAGAGTTATTAGTATAGAGAGCAGCCTGTACTCCAAATATTTAAATGGAATTTTTCAGATTTTGTATTGAAAGATTTCTTGACCTTGCTTGTGATTTGAGTTCGTTTATTTTCTACTTTGGGAAATACTGGATTACTGTATTTTAACAAGCCAATTTTCGACCCATGAATTTGACCTGCACAGGTTAGGCGACTGGGTAAGAGATTTACTGTTTAGTAAATTGGTTTTAGTAGGTTTTTGGCTATTTTAAATTCTGACCCGTTGATCTGGGTCAAAGCAATTTTTGACCTGTGACCCGGGTCATAACTCTATAAATCAGGTATGTGATCCAAATCGAGTAAACTAGCAATTACTCAATGGATTGCTATCAAAGTTGGTTCTGTGAGAGAAATGAAATTATGTAAAACGCTCATTCATTCTCTACTCACATATTTATAGCTAATAATCTAACCTGAATTTACTTTAATTCTAAAAAGAATATTTGGTTAATTGTAATTAAATTAACAATTATAAATGCAGGCAACTATTTGTTTATACGTAGTTGCGTCATTGAATACATACGTAGTTGCGTCATTGAATACATACGTAGTTGCGTTATTGAATACAAAGGTTAAAACAGAAAGTATTATCCCTATAGGTACTTCATACAGTCGTGTACTTTATAATTTGCTTGACGAACAGTATTGGGCATTTAAAAGTCCACGTGCAGCAGATTTATGTACTCTCAGACCAGGTTTAACACGCCCGACATATCTATCGTTATATATATATATATATTTTTTTTTTTATTAAAATGCAACGAAATTAAGAAATAAAAACATTCTAAATATAATAACATTAAAACTAAAAAGTTTATTTATCCAATGCAAATACTTCTATAATCTTTTATTGAGTGTAATTTATTATATTTGAGTATCGCTAAGAGAAAATCCACAATTCTAAAAATATGTTATTATGAAAATTCCAATAAAATCTTTATAATTGCCCCTCATTTGTAGTCTACTTAGGATTTTCATTGTTTTACATATTTATTTTGTTAATTACAGAATATGGTGTTTAAAGATTGGTGTTTATTTATTATTAATACATTTATAATTTGCATTACCATTACAAGTTAATCAATTATTGACCGAATTGTCACCCTCATAAATTGGTTACACAAACAAAATTTCATATCAAAAATTCACTTTCTTTATTTTTTTCGACACATACATACAAAAAAGCAGCCGATTCATGAAGTTAAGGTTCCTATACCAGTTATAAATAAATGAAGTCTTTTTTATTCAAATTATGTCACTGGTTACTTTCTTTCTAGTTTTATATTTTTTTTTACTATTTTGATAATAGAAAGTTAAAACTATATTTATTTTTGAAAGGTTTAATCAAAAAGCTACAGGTTTTTTTTGTTTAAAGCACTTTTCTTCTCTTATTGTGTATTTATTTCATGTGTCTAATAAAATTTTACTTAGTTTAGAAATATTTCAAACCGCTGCTTCTGTTTTTTAAAAAATTTGAAAGATAAAATGACGATAAAAATTATATAATTATAAACGTGAACATTCTGCCGTTATCGGTTAATAATTATTTCACATGATCAGATTGATTATTGGCTGATATGTCACTTCGAATATGGAGTAATATTAGTATTACTTATATATTTATATATGGTGACAGTTTTTGAGATCGTTTTTTACTTGTATAACATTGAGCTGTCCCTCTGTATATTTAACTATCCCCTAGATACTACAGTGTATGGAACACAGTAAAAATAATAATCCAAAGATACATTCTAATATCTAAAATACAATAATAAGACTATTTTTTCCAAAAGAAATATTATAAGTTTTTAAAAATTAAAATAAACCAACTCTAACAATAAGAACTTAAAAAGAAACGACAAAGCAAAAACTTTGAGCAGATGGCTTCATATAACTTGTTCAGAATGTCTTGATTTGAAAGTTGTGTACCAACATGAAAATAATAACCAAAATCGCTTGTCTCCATCTCGTGCTAATCACAACCAAAATTGTTTGTCTCCGAGTCTAGCATCACATAATGGTGACTGTCAGAAACTCATACACGGTACGCTCCACAGTCACAGCGTGAAACACTTCATGTAGCCTAAACAAGCAAAACTTTACCTAATGGCCGTAAGTCATGAACTTTGGGCCACTATATCTCTATAGTATTGTCTCAAAAACCAATTATGTAAAGCTGGCTATGAAGAATTTTTGATCAACTTAATGTTGCATTATAAAAGAAACCTGTATGTGACGATCGTGAAGAATCTTTATAAGTACCACGTGCAAGTTCCTTTTTTAGGCCTATTATGATGTTATGACATTATACATAATCCGATCCACATTAGATAACTAATTTTGAAAACATTATGAGAAAAATTTTATGAAATGGGGAATTACATAGCATCCAACTTGTGGCACACTTTATTTTAGTTTAGAAAGCAGGGGCGAAGCCTAATAAAATTTAAGTAATATTTTTTGTAATAGTTCCTATACTAATTTATAATTCGGTTAAATTTATAATGAATTTATTAAATCTTTAGTTGAATTTTCAGTATCACCCGTTTTGTTATAAGTTAATACACGAAAATAATATATTTCTGCACTTGGATTAATTTCATATTGCATAATTGAGAAATAGGTTGCACCAGGAAGAGACATTTTTCAAGACAAAAATTCTCGAATTCTCAAGAAAACAATCGTAACTATTTAAATAAAGGTAATGTTTAGTACTATATATACAATATGTACAGTAGTTTAATTTAACGTCACAATTTTGTACACAATAAAGCATCATTTTACTTTTTCTATCATTGCTTATTCAAAATTTTAGCTAATTGAAGTTGCTTTACTGTCTAGACCTGTCACAGGTGCCCCTGTATTATTTTACAGGGAGTTTTCAGAAAATTTAACTGTAACATAGTCTTTTAAAGTTGCATAAAATACTGAAATAGAATAGTAAGTTACTTTTCTTCTACCATCTCTAACGGGAAACTTTATTAATTTATATGGTCTAATTAAATTTTAATACCAAGCTTCGGACTTCAGTTTCCGTTTCCTGGTTATTATTGGCAGGATCATTGCCGCAGTATATATTTCATGCACAAATTTCGTAAATACTACCAATGGACTGCTTATGCACGAGAAAATGGGGGTTAGAAATTTCTTATGTAGTTAGACTATTTTCATACGTGTTAATCAGTCATTTCTGAAATATATGATACACAAAATTTCGCTCTCCTCATATGAGGTGAGCGAAATTTGTGTATCACATATTAGGAAATCAAATTTGTGTATCATATAATGATAACGATAAGTTATTAGAAACTAAAATTTGTGTATCATATCGATATATGTGTATCATAAATATTAGAAAATAAAATTTGTGTATTATATCGATATATTAGAAAATAAAATTGTGTATCATGTATTAGAAAATAAAATTAGAAAATGCAGAATTAAATGCTTAGATAATAAAATATATGAAATATAAAAAAATATATATATATAAAATTCTAAAATATCAAAAATGTAGAATACAGTATATTGAATATATTAAAGTCCTGATCAAGTCACAGATTTGGCGCAAGATAATTTTGCTAATGCTATACCTGCATGCACAATCTCTAGTTAATTTAGCCAATGCATAAAATTTTAATTTGTATGACGCATATTAATATTTTAAAAAATTTCTATTTTAAAATTAAAGAAAATTCCATTCATATTAAATGAACTTTTTAGTTATAAATAACGAGCAGGTTTTCAAAAATTCTAAATCCTACTCCTCCCACAACAAACTACATCACTCCCACTAATCAAGAAAAGTATACATTTAGTGATTCTTTCAGTTTACCTAGCCAATATCGCATCTACTTAATTCGATTATCAGTTTATTCCTGGTCAGCACAAACGTTCCTGGCAAGATCTCTGAGACTTATTTCCAGAATGAAATATTTTTTTACACTCGGCACTTTACTTATTGTTTTGTGTGCTGTGAACAAGAATTATGCGCAAACGACTAGTCAGAAGGGTTTAGAATGTATAGCAAGTTGGGAGGGTTTTTGTCCAACCTGTTATCAAGATCTAGGGTGTAAATGGACTATAGGTATTGGGTTTCTTGTTGGAAATAGTAAATCAAAATCAGAATGCAAAAAAATGGAACCGATGAGCTTAAAGGTTGCCTTGAATAATTTCAAGAACAAGCTTTCAGAATTTGAAGGATATGTGAAAAAATATGTAAAAAAATCGTTAAACAGCGATCAATTTGATGCGTTAGTAAGCTTTGCCTATAATACAGGTGAAGGTGCTATTAAAAGTGTAGCAAATATTATTAATTCCAAGAGATTCAGCAAAGTCCGTAGTGAAATGGCTAAATACAATAAAGTTACTATTGAAGAAAATGGTAAAGAGTGTAAAGTAGTTTCACCGGGTCTCGCGAATAGAAGAAAATTTGAAGCTGATATGTTTGATTCAAAAATAAAATCTTGTCCAAAGGTTTCGCAAAATTGTAATGGTGGTTATAAGAAATAAAACCTATTTCCTATCATTTTAAATATGTTTATTAGTAATCAAATAATTTTTTATAAATATTAGAATAATAAATAGTTTAAATTTTTTTTTCTTAACTAAAGAATATACTATTTATATTTTAGAGATATTTGAATTTTTTTCCTTTAAAATAGGTTTTTTTTATTCAAGTATTTTATATAAGTATAAATTATAATATAAATAAAAATATAATTTCAAGCAAATTAAGTATAATTCTAGATGAATAGCTCAAAGCAAAATTTAATTCTGGGCAAAATTAGGCATAACTCCAGGCAAAATCAAATTATAAATTCATGCAAAATTCTGGGCAAACTTCAGGAAAAATCAATTTCAGACAAATTATGCATAACTCAAGGCAAAATTAAAAAATATTTTCAAGCAAAAATTAGTATAACTCTCGACGCAAAACCTTAGGCAAAATTTAAGTATAATTCTGGGCAAAATTAGGCATGACTAGAGATGTGCTGCGTACAGTACAGTACGCAAAAAATTTTTTAGAATATTCTAGAACAAATCACGAAAGTATTCCTATCTCAAAACTTTGACTATGAAACTGTCTTTCGCACTCTAACAAGAATTGTTTCTTGCAAAATGTTACACATAACTTATTTATCAATGCCACGTGTATTGTATATGTTACGTATATTCTACACACTATACAACTATACGTACTGTACCGTATATACTGTATGCTAAAAAAATTCAGGTATCATATAAATGGCACATAGGGTTGTTAAATTATATGTAAGTTACATGTAATTTACTGTATGTAAATTTATTGTAACTTACATATTATTTGTAAGTTACATAAGCTCAAAATAACTTTGAGTTAAATTATGAAATTTAGCATAAATTATACTCAATTT